TCATCTGGTGAGATCGACCAACGAATCTCTTCTTCATGCACTTTCATACGAAATAAAGGTCCCTCTGACAAAAATGCATAAGACGGAAATTACACTCAACACAAGGGACAAACAACACCAGGGACTATGCAGAAAAATGTATACAGAAGGGAGTCTGTGGACATCATCTTTCAAACAAACCTGGTGAACACAAGATTGAAAAAACGATAATTTCGCCTACCAAATGGACAGACTTGGAGATTCAGCAAAAAAATCACAAGGAAGACGCTTGGACCCAGGACAAGTATTCAACGACAGGAAGAGACATCGCCAAGGAGCGGCTCATAAGAGACAGAAGAGAGTCAAGAAAAAACAATTGCAGCGAGAGGAGCCAAACCTGGAATTTGGAAAAAAAATAAACCCAGGGTTGGTCCACCTGTTGGATGTTGGATAGGTAATTAAAAGCTAACGATATAGATGGGGCAGATAAAGGTTCCTAGTGTGTGTGTCTGGGTGCTTGTGTGCATTTTTAGTGTCTGTACCTTAATGAGAGGTGACCGATATTACATATAAACAACAGCCTAGTACACCACAATTATATGAGACTGTCAACTCGAGGGACGAGAGGAGTTTGTTTCTCACTGTTCAGTAGAGGAACAAGGGGAGCGGTGCATTTTCACACCAGCGATTATGGCCTAAGTCGGACCCAGTACCCCATAGATAATTGGTCAAAGTGATTACCTTCACTTGTCACTTTGCTAACGATGGCATTTCTCACTGACGATGCCGGCGAAACGTTTGGGAATGTACCAAGTCACTGTTCCGATGCTGGAAATCACGAATTCCATGGCAGAAAACACAGGTTTAGGCACGTTCCACAAGGTCTACCTGACGCTCCGACCAAATTGTGAAAACGAAGTCGCACCAACACTGTAGAGCTGAGTGAGACTGTGATCAAACAGAAGGCCACGCCATCTTAGCCTTCATATCTACGAAAAAAATAAGTTATTCAATCGATTTCTATAGCTTCGTCTAAAATCCCACCACAGAATTTGATATTGAAAAATGCCCGGCCCTCCTTGAAATTCTCTTAGGCCCTGTGACATAAGGGCAGTCGTGGCAATTTGGTGTAATGACTAACGTGTCGAGATCATACGCTGAGCTACCAGGGTTCTAGTCCCGCTGATGATGCTGATGAGACCTTAACGAGCTCGAAACTGCAGTCCACATTACATGAGGAAACTTTTTGGGAAGCAAACCTAAATGCAATTCAATGAAAATGTTAATCCTACTCATATAATTATGGTAAAAAGTCAGCTACCAGTCCTTCATCTTTAACAAACTAGGCTGAATACATCTCATAGACATTATTAACATGCCTTTTTTCTTTTATCGATGCATTTAATACATGTATAGATGTCTTCTCAGGAGAGCGAGGAGCGTGAAATGGCCAGACCCGGTGACTTGGCTACTCTTGTCAACGGACTGCTCGAATCCATTGCTTCTGTGGATAGCGAAGCACCGAAATTGGCGGTTTCTTCTACCTATGCAGAACTTGTTAATGGCGTAAACGAGCCATCCGAGGTGACTAAGAAAGGACAGACAGTGGCTATCAGTGTTGGAAAACAAGTGGCTGATGGTGTTAATAAACCACCTGCCATTGATACTCTTGACCACCCTCAGCCACATCAGCAGCAATTGATGTCAACTGAAATGTCTTCTGCCTCTGGTTTGACTTCGGTGTCAGCACCTTTGGGTGGCAAGACCCGAGAATTTATGGAAGCCAAGCAGCTCGTTGATCAAATGACTGATCAGAAGAAGAGTGAGTATACACGCATACATGCACACAGTACATGGTGTGAGTCATTATGAATTTTGGGGAAGTTCTTATACATTCATTCATAATTTTGGTGAATCTCGACAACTAACCTTGTGTGAGATTTGGCACAATCAATTAGCATTATATTTCATAGATAGGAAGAT